GGGCCGGGGCCGGGCCCTTTGGCCCTGGAATCCAGTTCTCTCCCCCCGAGGGGGATCATTAAGGGGACCGCGCTGGCTTCTTTCACAGGATCTTCCCAGGCAGAGGAACGCTTTAAACGGCGCCCCTCACAGCACCACAGGTCTGCCGCGCTTGGGATGCCTTTGAAGAGGGGGGCCCGCCCGAGCACCCCTGCGAAGGCGGCCAGGCTGACGTGCCTCAGTGGGGAGAGGAGCCCGTTCGCGGGCCAGCTGCGCTTTCCGGGAGATGTGGACTTATGACTAGCTAACGCTGAGCGGATATGTTCTCCTTTGCAGGGATTTGAAGAAAAATAAGATCGCCTCCCTGCTGGAAAATCAGTTTGTCCCCAGTGCGGGGCTGGAGTACCTGTGAGTACGGTGCCGCCCTCGCTGCCCCCGTGCAGCCATGCAGCCACCACTCAGAAAGCAGCGGAGCCGGACTGGCGTTCAGGCCTGTTACGCGCCCCGAGCTGCTCGGCTTGCCGCTCGGTCACATCCCGCAGATACTTTGCCCAGGGAAGAACGTGCAAATACTTGCTTTTTCTTTTGGTGCATCCTGTCGCTACACCAGGGTCCTCCTGCAAAACGGCTTTGCGTCCCGCACAAAATATCTCCGCCTGATGGAAACTCTTCCATCTGTGGAGTCCTTGGGGTTCTCTGAGCTTGATCGTTTTCTTGCAAACGTTTCGTTACCCGGCTAGGTAACATCTTCAGTGCTAACAGGGGATGGTGTCAGGTTTAGCCCAAGGAACTCCAAGAGACAATGCAAAATCAGTTCAACTGTGTTTATTAGCTACAACCTCTAGCAGGAATCTCCCCAGACTGAACCCCAGCTCCCAGGCCAGCCAGCCACAACGGTGTGAATTCCTCAGGGAGGTGCCAGCCTCATCCTCTTGTAGTTCCCACGTTCTTTCAGTGAACTAAGAAAACGCTTATCTCCCTGAACCTGGCCTTCATAATTCCATTCCATCACAGATGGGGTTTGCTCTCTATTTATGTGCTGTGGCCTGCCTTGCCAGTGCTGGTGGGGGTGGGGGTTTTGTTTTGCTCCTCTGGTAGTTCTCTGATTTGCATGTGTTTGCTGCTTGATTGTGTGCCTGATGGTTA